GTATTACCATCCTGAATACGGAATGGTATGTGGCAAGAAAATTTATTCAGAAGTCAAAACAAGGACTTTTCTTTTTCCTGCTTCTGTGAGCTTACAGTGACGCCAACCCATCTCCCAGTCGGATTAGAAATCTTCACTCGCACATAAAAAAAAAAAAAAATTTAAAAAAATACAGGTAAGCAACATCATATAGTTTGAGAATCATGGTTAAACAAAAAATGGGCTACAATGTTTCCAAACAGCTCTGCTCGGGTTTATAATAGTCAGAGACTTCCTTCTCCTAGACTGGTTGCCAATTAAAGCAAGAGAGTCCAGTTTACCTATTTAACCCAATATATTGGAAGAGAAGAAATGGATTCATACCTTTCCCAAGGGTATTTGCATGAAAGTGAATGCAACAGCCTTAGTTGAATTTGAACTCTGCATGCTGATCTCACATTCCTTGCCAAATAATAAACAATGATATGCTCACAATATCAGGGAGATAAATTAGTCCTTGTTATGTTCATACACACAGCCGAATCATTCTCTTCATATTCCATTTGTAACAAAGAAGTGTCAATCAGACAGCTTCTTTCCAAGAGCTGCTACTTTGTAAAACAGATCCCCAAAAAGATGCTTCTTTGATCACTACAATCTTTACTTCTTCAAATATAGGATCAATTGTTATATATCCTCATAATCTGACCATGCCTCCTCTTCTTACACTTGGCCCTCCTTGGTATGCCGATAAACTACATCCAGGGTGGTAGCATCTGTCAGGGTCCCAGCTATGAGCAAATAGTTAAACCCCCACCCCCACAAAAGGGGTCAAAACACTATGAAAGTAAAAAAAATAGGTTTTATACCAGCAATACATTTTTAGAAAAAAAAATATATTATCAACAATAAATTTTTTGAAAAAAAAATATTACCAGCAATACATTTAAAAAAAAAAAAAAATGTTACCAGCAATACATTTTTGGAAAAAAAATATATTATCAGCAATACATTTTTTGAAAAAAATGAAATATTGCCAGCAATAAAAATCTTGCCGGTATTAAATAACCCATTGAGGTTGACATGCTGTGAAAAAAACAATCCAAACGAAACCAAAAATATTACCAGCAATAAAAATCTTGCCGGCATTAAATAACCCATTGAGGTTGATATGCCATTAAATAACTCATTCAGGTTGATATGCTGTTAAAGAAACCAAACCAATCTTACACCCGGGCTTACAGCCACATCATGTTGAAAAACTGGTTCCTTTGTGATCATCAAAGTTAAGCAACATAGAGGCTGGTCAGCATCTAGATGGATGACCACTTGGAAATACCAGACGCTGTATGCTTGGATGTGCAGATGGTATAATGGATAATGGCTTGGAATTGTTAATTGGAGAGCTGAGTTTCAATTCCCATTGGGTTCGTTATATTCACTTACGCATAAATACTCATGAGAAAGGTATGAATTGACCTCTTCTCCTCACCAGCTGTGGGTTAATTAGTAAAACTTATCTTCCCCCAAAAATTCTTACAATCTAAAAATATTTTCTGGCTATAAATAACCTGCAAAGGGTTGATAAGCTGTAAAAAACGAATCAGTCAATCAATCCTCAGTGGATAACCGTCCAGAATGAGAAATCAGAGAACTAAGTTTAAATTGCCATCAGGTTCACAGTAGCCTCAGGAAAGGTATGAAGCAATTCCCCCATCTAGCTATGGGCTAAATAGCAGAACTTGTATCTGGAAAAATCATCATTATTCTCAAAGAATCCTCTTATGTCTATAAAACAACCACACGCAGTAATTCTTTACAGTGAGTGGCTCTTGGGTCTTGTGTGAAAATTTAGTAAAAAATAAAATGAAATCATTTGAAGTGCTAAATTCAACAGTATCAAAAAAGTAGTCATAAGGGAGAGATGCTATTAAAATTTTACAAAAACCCCTCTAAAAGTGATATAAAATCTTTCAACCCTATTCTTAAAAACAAGTCTGACTGATGATATATGTCTTCTGATTGTATTTAATACAATAAACCTAACTATACTACTGTTAAACCTACACCTGTTTCTCTACTAACCGATTAACAAGATTGACTATGCTGTCATTTTTACAGAGGTTTACTGACTGTCCCAGGTCCTCCCACTCCAAGCTTGGCTACACTTCTGTTCCACACATAATGAGATTCTTGTTTTACTGCGATAAGTGACTTTACCGATACCATCTTGAATTTTCGATAGACCTTTGGTTGTTGGAAATAGTCACAGAAGAAAAGTCATAAGGTACACTTTGTTAGGGTCGGAAAAAAGTCAACAGAAATAAAATCATTTTCGTGTTGTGGGTAGAGAAAGATGATACGGAGAAATTAAGTAAGGTTTTCATTTAAAAACTAAGCTATATTTTAAGTAAAGTATTATTTTAATATTCAGTTATTCAAAATAAAAGTCAGGTATATACTCTGTGTATTTATTGCTTCAAATATTATTATGTTGGACGCTTCTTATTTAAAATAAACTCCCCTTTTTTATTTATTATTAAACAATGTGTATCAAAAAGGGTAAGAAAGATGTGTATTAAATAAAATAAAAACAGCCTTCATGGCTGAGTGGTAAAGCATGATAGGTCAAATGGTAGTTTGTCTCTACAAAGGGAGATGAAGGTTCAATCCCTGCTAGAGGACATTTTCTTTACTATGATTTCTCAAATATAAAAGCTGATAGAAAATTGACATAATACACACTGTTTAATGAATAAAAATGGGGCATCTATTTTAAACAAGAGTTCCTCTCTAATAGCATTTGAAGTAATAAGAAGACAGGATTAAAAATAAATCAATTCTTTAGAAATATATAATTATATCATGGGAATATGTCAAAAGACAGAGCAAAATTATTATTAATTAAAGAATATCAAACTTAAAATCCCATAAGTAATAATTTTTATTTCATGAGAGTTTTAAAAAATGCAGCTCTCAATCTTCAAGACCTACAAACAAATCCAAATTTACAGATATATTCTATCTGAAATTTTATATACAGTGTAACCCGGATATAAGAGAGATTTTCTCTGGTCCCAAAGTGTTCCCATACTTACCTAAACAAAATAGACCAAACCCGGATATAAGAGAGATTTTCTCTGGTCCCAAAGTGTTCCCATACTTACCTAAACAAAATAGACCAAACCCGGATATAAGAGAAACCCGGATATAAGAGAGATTTTCTGTGGTCCCAAAGTGTTCCCATACTTACCTTAACAAAATAGACCAAACCCGATATAAATAAGAGACTTCTTCTCCGATCCCGACAACTCTCTTATATCCGGTTACATATATATATATATATATATATATATATATATATATATATATAGATGATGGACTTTCCCGTCATGTTTTGATGTATGTGTCTTTCAGTTCAGTTTTTATGTTTGTTTCGTATCAGACAATAATCATTCACAGGATTTGCAAACAAATCCACATGAAGGGCATACTGAATATATATATATATATATATATATCAAATTGTAATTGTTAGGGGTTATTCCAAAGAGGACCTTTAGTTCATGTGAGAGCTCAATGTATGATACAGAGCAAATTATAATAATAAGTAAAAATCCTTAAAAATCCATTGTCAGTAATAAATTTATTTTGATGAATATAAGTATATATTTATCTTATCAGACCAACTACACACACACACACATATATATATATATATATATATATATATATATATATATATATACACACACTAAGTATGATTAAAATATTAAAGTAAACGCTCTCTAAACTCGACCATGTCTCTCACACCACTCCTTGCTACCCTCTCTGTTAAATTACATAAACTTAATACTACCTGTCACAAGTGTAAATTTTCATTTCATTTTTCGTTTCACCTTTTGGAAGTGATGTCTGATGATCTAGCGTCCTTTAAGAGGTCTCTGGTGAAATAAACTATTACAATGGAGCCTTAAAGTGGTCTATTTTTCTTTAAATCATATATATATATATACACACACACACTGCATCAGAAATACCTCCCACATAATAGTAAAATGTTAGTGAAAATGTTTCTTTATCTAGCTAATGTCTTCGTGTCTATATATATATATATATATATATATATGTGTGTGTGTGTGTGTCAATTATTTTCAGAGTGTATCTGTAAAATAACAAAATGAATAAAAAGACAAGAGACATTTGCTTTGATAAAGTCCTTCAGAGGATGAAATGTATCGCTAATAGTTTTCTCATCTTTTTTTTAACACACACACACACATATATATATAATCAGATAATATATATATATATATATATATATATATATATATATATATATATATAATGATTATCTGCTCATTTCTGATTTAAAAGTTAAAATCATTAAAAAAATACTATATGTAGAGTATTACACAATTGTCAAAAAACATCTTCATGGTTCACCACAGCTTCCTTTTCTGTGAATATTCTTGAGAAACAGTGAAGTTGTTTCCTACTGCCACTGTTTTCTATTCAATTAGTCTTCTCCTAAACTGGCTGCCAATCAAGGCTAATGAATTCAGTCTACACTGCTATTTAACTTATAGTAGAGAAAAGATAGATTCACGCCTTTTCCAAGTGCATCAGTTTGAAAGTGAACACAACAGACTAGAACAAAATCAGAACATGGCTTGCCAGTTCATATTTCTTTGTCAATAACTGCTGTATTACCCACACATCCAGTAGATATATGATAAATAAATTTTAAAAAATTGCTAATTTTATTAAAAAATATTAGTCATTTTAAATGAAAATATTATTTTCTCTGACTTTTTCCTTCTCACAAAAGAAAGTTAAGACTTTTTTTTATTGCCCTAACACAGTGTACCCTATGACTTTTCTTTCATAAGTTTTTTTTTTCCTATGACTTTTTTTCTGGTCACTGGATCTTTTGTCCTCTTGGAAAAAAAAAAATGATGATGCTCATAATCCGAATAATAATAATGAAAATCTACTGTTACACCAACTGCCTGTTTCAGACATGTTGAAAGTTCTCCTTTTTTACGACGGAATTTCGCCCATTACAACCTGACTGGTTTGGAGAAAGACACCCGACAAAGGTTGGCTTGTTTTCATCTGATCTTGGCATGAAAACTTCAATGAATCTTTCTCTCTCTTTTCTTTATTCTGCTCTAAATCTTTCTATTGACTTACATATGTTTTGTTTTCTCTTTTTCTTGATGTTTGTCACTTCATAACACTGTCCACGTTTTGCATTAACATTTTTGTTTCTTGTTTTATTTGTTTTGTTTTTTAACTTTCTGTCCTCATTGTGAACATCATGATTATCAAGGGAGGTGGAAATCTTTTTTTCCTTCCATTCTTTTCATTTTCTTTTCATTTCATCTATCTTCCACCATTTTATATATGTTTGATGATTGTTCTCACTTCAATTTGTATGAGTTATCTCCCTTGAATAATTCCCATCATCCCTCATAATTCCCTTTCTAAGTATTTTTTTTTTTTTTATTATTATTTTCATTTACTTATTTTCTTTTACTTTCTGTTCTTTTTCTGAATATCATGATTATCAAAGAAAGGGTCAATCTTCTCCTGCCACTGTTTTTTTTTTTCTTTCATTTCATCCATCTTCCACCATTTTGTAAATAGGTTGATTTTCTGTTCTTTCATCAATTTGTATGACTTATCTCCCTTGAATCATTTCACCATCAACCCTCATTTTTTTTTTATCTTTCTACCATTTGGGGAAATATCATGCTTATAAAGATATTTACAGTTAGAAGAAATCTTTTTCTCCTTCCCTTGGTTTTTTTTTTTTCATTTCATCTATCTTTAACTATTTTATACAGTCGATTTTCCTGCAATGTATACGAGTTATTTCCTTTGAAATATTTTCCCATCATCCCTCATAATGAACATTTTCTTTTTTTCTTTTTTTTTTAACCATGTCTCAGTTTGTGCAGGATTTGTGTTTCAAAAGTTTTGGTAAATGAATATCCATCTCTTCCTCATTCATATTTCATTAAGTAAAAATATCATTCATTTTTAGGTGTCATAATTAGGATGTATAGTTTCAAGTGACTCTCAGTTTTTTCATCAGTAAAAGAATTATTTCAGGAAAGTTTCTGTTAACAGTTCTGAATATTTAAAAAAAAATATATTTTCTTGTTTTTTCATATCAGAAAAAAATAACTAATAAGTCTCCATGTAAGTAATAATCCCTTTCCAATTTTACAGATTATTGGATTGTAAGTGAATTCAGAATTCCATATATTTAATGATATAGCATAAATCCCATGTAGACAATAATCCCTTCCCAATTTTAAAGATTATTGTATTGTAAGTAAGTAAATTCAGAATTCCATATATTTAATGATATAGAATAAGTCCTGTTTAGTTTTCTGTCTGGGTTCAGCATAGAGATGAGATGAGGATGACAAATGTATTTACACATGTGCTTATTGCTTGAAGGGTGGCATAGAAAAGAGGAAGAGAAGTTAGTATATTGAACTAAAGAAGTTAATGCTCCTTACTTGAGAGTTTCTATCAGGAGAGATTACAATGTAATTTAACAAGTCCCATGTTGACGATAATTCCATCCAATTTTTAATTATTATTGAACACTGTAAGCAAATTCAGAATCACATATATTTAATGATATAGAATAAATCTCGTGTGGACAATAATCCCTTCCCAATTTTAAAGATTATTGTATTGTAAGTAAGTGAATTCAGAATTCCATATATTTAATGATATAGAATAAGTCCTGTTTAGTTTTCTGTCTGGGTTTATCATAGAGATGAGATGAGGATGACAAATGTATTTACACATGTGCTTATTGCTTGAAGGGTGGCATAGAAAAGAGGAATAGAAGTTAGTATATTGAACTAAAGAAGTTAATGCTCCTTACTTGAGAGTTTCTATCAGGGGAGATTACAATGTAATATAACAATCCCTATGTGGACTATAATCCCTTCCCAGTTTTAAAGATTTATTCTAATCAAACACCAACTCATTCATAAATTGCTTATATTACTTTCCATTTCTTCATTGGATGCTGGACAGTGATGACTAACCATTTACACCTATATATTATATATAGTTTTTGTTTATATGTTGCTCATTTCAAATATATTTCACAAAATTTACCTTTAACGCATTGAGCAGAAAAGTTTTACTGATTGGCCCAAAAGAGGATAAGTGAAACTATGGCTGGTGATCTACAGGTCTAGATAGAACTCCCCACCTCGTGAGTAGATAACTGAGATTAGCTAACAACCTTGGCATAGTAGGGGCAACCAAGATGGATTAAGGCCCTTACCACAGATTCAGTCCAGTCCAGAGAAGACGTTAGAGCAACACATGCTACAACCAATGTCCAAACTCACAAAATAGAGAACAAAGATATTCATAGATGGTAGTTGACAACCTTGCCTGACCTTTGTAGAGTGCAAACCTTATTGACTATAAGTACTAGGGTTATGTCATGTAATATTGTTGTTTTAAATTGCTGTATTTAATAAAAATGGTAAATGCATTTTGGTACCCTTCTTTTCATTTCCCTTTTTATTATCTTGTATTCGTTTTTGTTTGGGAGCTCTTTGTGGTAAGGAGCTGTTATATAATAGTCACTCAACACAAAGTTCTTGCGCTTGGTGATTCTGTGAATGAGGAGGTGTTACTTTACATCTCTTAAAACTTAAATATTTCACTTGAGATTGCACTTTCAAACTTTTTTTTAATCATTTCACTTCAAGCAAGGCAATAAAGCCACTTAGATTCAGAGCCTCACAAGGACTGAAAGAAAATGAGAAAACTTTAATGTAGGAAAAAGACAATAAAGGAACATGATTCAAGAGGACAGAAGATGGCGATTGACATTGCATTTCAATTTTTGAAGATTGTAGTTGACAGGGAAGCAAGAAATCAGAAGTTGGTTGGTTGTTTTTGTTTAGCAGCATATCAAGACCTCTATGGATTATTTAATGCTGAAATCTAAATGTTTTGCAAGCAATGTTTTTTGGAGATAATAATGGTTTTTAGTGATACTAATTATCTTATAGCTGTTATAAGTGTTATATAAGTAATAATTTTAAGTCACTATAACGGACAGAACTGGAATTGAAAGTCAGCTCTATGATTAACAATTCTGAGCCATTACCCATTACACCACCTGCACATTCAAACTTACTGCATCTTGTATTCCCAAGTGGTCACTCCTCTAGTTACTTACCATATTCAACATTGCTTAACTTTGATGATTGTACAGGAGCTGGTGTTTCAACATGATGTGGCTCTAGGCAAGAAATCAAATGGGAGTTCCATAGAATAAGTACACAAAAAGAAACTACTAGAATAGAAGTAATGGTTGCATTTAGCTAGTTCAACAGTAAAATAGTGAGACCTAATTGCCAATCTAGTAGCATGCTTAAATTCATACAATTAAGGTACCAAGGAGGAAAATTCATCAGAACAATTTCCATGAAAATATTTGAAGAAAAGACAGAGGGAAGCCACATCATGTCAGCGAGAAAGTGAGTGAAATCATGATGTCAAGTCAGGATTGATTATATTACAGACCTTTCTATGAATTTTATCATGATATATTTCAAGATATATAGTTGGAGAACCAGATCTGCTATGGTAGCAGTATTCAATGCATGGATGAATGGTTGATTTATAAAGAAGGATTCAGATAAGTATTATCTGGCACGACAGAGTGAACAAACTTCCACAGCGGTAATCCTACCAATTAATTCAATATAATCACTCCACTTCATGTCAGTGGTAAACATGAGCCCAAGAAGACGCAAAGTGTTGCTCTCCTGAAGTTTAGCATCAGCAATGCTGATATCAGGCAGAAAAGGGTCTTTATGGCAGTGCTTCTCAACCTTTTCCAGCCCATGGACCATTTTTCTTCAAAATTTCAAATGGACCACTCCTACTTTTATTTTTAGGCTGTTCAATTTTTACACTAAAATATTCAATGAAAAGACAAAGTAGTCTATTTACACTTTAAAATTCAGGATATCAAAATCAATTTTGATGATGTCATTCAGTCTTAATCCATTCAGCTAGTGACTACCTTAAACTTGGTGTTTCTGACAGGATATGATAAAAATAAAATAAATATAACACTATGGACATGTGTGTAATTAAGTTAAATATTACATTTTGTAATTCTTTAAAGTATGAGTATTTTAGATACATTTTTGTGAAATGGCTACAATTTTTATCTGACTATGAATTCTCTGTGGACCACTAGAAATGCTATGTAGACCACCGGTAGTTCTCCTGGACCATGTCGAGAAACACTTCTCTATAGTGATTAAATGAAAGCAGTTTTGTTTTGGAGGCATTAAATTTGACAAGCCATTCCTTGCCTCAGTAAATAACTGATTGGAGGTCCTTTTCAAGGTCATTTGCCAGTTTTACTTTGTCGGACATGTTGGATGTGCTACTAAGGCAATAGTATAAAGTTGTGCCATCTGCATAGATACCGAGCTGGGAATTGATGACATCGGGAAAAAGAATGGGGAAACAGCATAGGTCAAGGACAAAGCACTGGGGTACCCCTTTGTTAATATGAAATGAATTTGGAGTATGCCCATTCAATACAACCATCATTACAGAATTTGTTAGGAAGGATCAGATTAGAATAAATATTCACCCAAAGACACTACAGGATGTTGCAGCAAAAAAAGACAAGAAACAAAAAAAGAAAACAAATAGGCAATAAAAAAAAAAGTTGTATATGCAGAGACCAGACAGTTTATTTAGCAACAGTTTTTCCATACATATTTATTTTCAATGTAACCACTGGCAGATCACCATCTCACACTCTTTGGGTCCTGTCACTGGATCTAACTAATACCTTTATCCTTAAGGACACATGAGAACATTTTATTAAAGAATGACAGAATTTGGAGATAAATTAAAATCAAATTATAAATTTAGATGATAATATCTAATAGACATGGCATGTGGAACTAGAACAGTCTACCCCATAAGCGAAATAAAAATTCAGTTAGATTATTCCAAAAAAATGAAGAAGAAAAGAACATATAATGGCCAAAACGTTTGATAAATATGGCAAATCAAAGATGAGGATGATAACAGAAATTTAAATAGTATATATAATACCACATCTCAGAAATATAGACAAATATAATTAAGAACTATGAAAAATTAAATGAAATATGTTGGAAATTTCAAGTTTTCATCTGAAATCAAGAAAATAGAAATTCTAAGGAAAATGGTTACAATATCTGGAAAAAGGAAGATGTCAGTTTAAATTGATGTCATATAATTATGAAAATAAGTTTTAAAATGTAAAATTAAAAAGCATTCAGTTAATCATTTTTTTTTTTTATTTTGTGATAAAAAGAAAAATTTTTTTTTTCCTTCGGATTCTGAGATGGAACAAATACATTGAGTCAATTGCCTTCCAATAAAGGAAAGTTGGCTCTACCTGTGCCGCTCGCCAGAAATTTTTTTATCCCCGAATCATTATTTCAAATGTAAAACAACCAAACGTTTGAAATCCAGTTAATGTTGCCATATATTCTGGAGCACCTTCTGCTTAACTCAGGTTCTTGACAAGATCCAGAGACGGATATGTAATTAATTGGCCCTGATCTAGGCTGTCTTGTCTGCAGTCACTTTCTCACAGACGCGCCGTCGCCTCTCTGTCTTTTCTACAAATACTTCCATGGTAATTGCTCTGATGAGCTGCTTTCACTGGTTCCCAGACTCCATGAATTCAAGCGCCCTACGAGGCTGGCATCCCGCTCATAAAATTTACAAATAGAAAACCTTCAAATGTAGCCGTCTCTT